CCAACGGCCCAAACCAAAAACACAGCTAGACAACACACAAAACCACAAAACTCTCAACAAAACAAAACAACACAAATTATTAGCAAATTTTTAAATATCAATCATATTATCTTTCTTTTTCTAAAGATATATTTTTCATATGCATTTTCTTCACTTGATCTTTTATAATTATTTTCATGGGTTATGAATATATACTGGAATTCAAGTTTTGGTCAAATTTTAGTTTTTTTTCTTCATTCAAATACTTTTTTTTTTCATGGACCATTACAAGCATATAGTTCACGATCTCATTTAGATTTTAATAATCTTAATAATAATTTAAAAACATAAAAAATACTTTTTTGGTAAATTATATTTTATTTTTCACTCAAGATATAAATTGATTTAAATTAAAAGATTTATATTTTGTATAGTGAGCGATAGTTTTGGCACATTTAATTCTATAAAATTGTAATTGAATAACTTGCGGAAACTGTATAATAGTTATATGAAAGCTGTATTATGAACCTAAATTGCATAATAATAAATTATGTGGAAACAATATCTCGAATGAATATGAAACTAGTTTTACTCCATGCATTTGCACGAAAAGAGATATAACAGAAGAGAAAGTAATTAAAACTTTAGACTAAGATAAAAATCATAACATAATAAATGGAGAGACGTCACGTACTTATGTGTGCAAAATTGTATGATACTTCAACACTCTAATCTTTTGAGTTTCACATTGAAGGGATACTTAATGTTGTATAATTTAATTAAATTTAGACTAATATAAAACTAAGTTGTTATCAACAATCAAAAGAAACACCAATCAAAGCAATATATCTTTCCAAATACCTGGAACTTAATTGCATAAAAACAAACATCAAACGATCTTATAGTTTTCTTTCCCCAAAACGATAGATAGTATACCACCAAAAAAAACTTATAATTACAACTAGACATCGACTAGTAATGCCAAACAGCCAAAACAAGAAATAATTTAAAAAAGTGAATCTGAATACTATTAAACACCACTTTATATACAACATTCGTGGTTTTCCTATCGTCATAATTTCTATCACAACAAATCATTATCGTTAAACCCCTTCGAATCGTGACTCTGGGATTTGATTTTTAAATACCTTTGTAATATCCAAAAAAAATATTTTTTTATTATTGTATGACTGCAATAGAAAATAGAGATATCTGTAGTCATCCTTGTTGATTAATTGTGAACTATGTATTTTTATAATACCAATATATGTATATATATATAAACATATTATATTTCAGGACATAAAAAAATGTTTTAGAAATGGACATCATCCAAAATGAGACCTATCAAAATAAATTGTATAACCGAAAGTTACATATTTTTATTAATGGTGGACATATTTTTATTAAATGAACTCATATTATTAATAATTGCTGCCTGAATAAAAGCTTGCCAACAAATATATATATATATATATATATATATATATATATATATATATAGAGAGAGAGAGAGAGAGAGAGAGAGAGAGAGAGAGATTGAGGTATCGATTTGAGCTCAAGTTGTAATAACCTTATTGAATTCGGAACTTTTTTTTTAAACCTGCTTTTGGTCTTGTAATCATAGGTTGACCAGGTGGGTTGTTGTCTGGGTGAAGGATGAAAGTGAGAACATTCAATTGGTAGATCAATAAAAATTTTGCCACTCTAATTATCAAGATCAATTGTTGATGGAGACTAAGTGAGAAAGATGTAGGAGAGGAATGAGAAGTATAAGAAGGTGCTCGAGGTGTGTGTTGGTATGTGAAAATAGTGTAACATGGTTGGAGATGCAAGAGTAAAAACATGAGGAATTGTCGCAGAAAAATTACAATGTGATATGGTAAAAACAAGTCATGATGTGTCTTATTAATCATATAACTTAACCATTTATCTGATGTGTGGCAGCAAATCTGTGCCACCATATTTGGTTTTCCATTCAGATACATTGGAAGGAAGGTTGCGAAAAAGGTTGGCGTAATTTCGAGCAGTAAGGTAGACCCCCTATATTTTGAGGCTATAGCAGTGCAAGAAAATTTTCGAGTCTAGAGTTTGAATATAGTACCTACTAAGAATGTTGAATCTGACCACGAGTCAAATAGAGTTAGGAGCGAAATAGATCAGAGAAAGCCTATATAGCTGGCTTAGCTAGACCGCGTCCTCCTAAAGGGGGAACTTAAGACCACTAACGACCTCGCCCATGAAGAAAGTAAAAAATCCTGAGGGGTGTTGGTCGAAGGTATCACCGAGCTGCAGGCGCAAAACTCCCAGGAACAAGGGAGCTCGCGTTGGTGAATAAAATAGGTTATCTGCTCGGAGGTGTAAGAAATAAAAGGATTGGATTTGACGAGCTTTACTAAGTTGGGCACTAATTCAACCTTTTTACCTTGAACAACGTTAATTTTGTTTCTCTCTCTTTCTAGCTCGATGCATTTAATAGATACCACTGTGGCGGTGGGGAGGGGGGGCAGAAGAGGACGGTAAACCTATTCGGGGTAATTATCTACAACGTTTTTTAGCTCGTCCCAGGGACCTCACCCTCTTGTTCATCTCGTAATTGCAAAGGTGGCCTAGTGGCTAGAATTGCAATGTTAGAGGTTGGAATTGGAAATACGACATGGGAAGGGGATGAGGTCAAAGAGATGGAGTTAATGCTATCTCCGAAGATTTCGAGCTAGCACACTAGGCTCATCCAGAAGCTTAGTAAAAAGAGGGGTTGTCACGACCTGTAGATCGTGCAACAGAGGTCGCATAAGCGACAACCTAAGGACTTGATGAGTAGGGTTGCAAAGTCATGAGGTCAGTACGACGACCTAGGGACCTGTTGAGTCCGGGTAAAGAAGGGAATACAACCTACTAAAAAATGTTGAGTCCGGGTAAAGAAGGGAACATAACCTACTAAAAAAGATGGTAAGTATATCTCTCTAAGGAATATGAGATCAGAAGTGTTATACTAGGAAACGAGATACGTGAAGTTCTCTTTCTTAGTAAAGAGGTTGCGTGGGTATGAAAACAACCTCCCTCATAAGAGCATCTGCAATGCTTTGGGTTTGGTTTTGCTTACGTGACATGTAAATAGACCTAAATCTTGAATGACATGGACAAAAACATATAAAAGTAATAAATTTGATTCCAATGCAAAGAGACTAGATCTCTACTTGGTCTAAAACAGACTTAAAAGCAGATCGAGTCTCTTTTTCTTGCTGCCACATTAGCAAGACACAATCTACTTGCATTTGCATTGAAGTATATAGTTTTCTAGATTGGGTCTATTTCCTACGTGACCTATATAGTTTTTTTAAATGGACCCAAGGATGCTCTAAGATGAGGTTACCAAGTTTATCTATGTTGAATGCTTATTAAACATTAAATCCCCGTATGACAAAGTTCACAAGCGAAATCTAACTTGAGCATCAGATGTTTTTCCGTCTGAACCCCTCTTGGCGTATTTTGAAGGTCACTGGAGCTCAGGCCGAAGGACAGTTCGTGATATTGCCTGTCTAAAATCCAATTTCGGTTTGGGCTCGATTTGCATATCAGTTTGCTTGTGAATGTTGTTCGTTACCGATTTATTTAGATGCACCAGTCAACATTTTACGATTATTTATCGATTTTATAGCAACATAAATTTATTTTCAATATTAATTTCACGATTCGAATCTATTATCTAATCTTAACTGTGTAACAAGGATAATGAGTTCAACTAGCCAGAATAGGTTCTATTTAATTACAACAAAGCGTACAACTGATACAGAATATAGAAGCGTTTACTCCTCCTATATATATTACTATATGAAGAAACTCGTTAATTTTATTTATAAAAACCTTCGACACAACCACAGAAGCTATTTTTCCTCGGCCTGAATTGGAGAATCCGCAGTGCAGGCCGAGGCCTTAACACAAGGTCTTTGGGTAAATACAATTTCCATAAGCTGCAAATCAAATACTTTGCAATTAGTACATTAGTGAAAGTCTATTTGGCCTGTCAAAACAAAAGTAAAGAGAAAAGGGTAATAGAGAGTGATAAAGACTTTACAGGGATCTTGGGTAGCATAGTACGCAATGGTAAGATGCATGTTTTCTCACTATATTATTCCTATTGCAAAACGCCGGCTTTATGTAACATGGACCTTCAGGTTCATGCTCTCTGCACGGCCGTGTTTTGCACGTCTCTTTTATGTACCTTTTCAAGATATCAATTTTCGTCTTGCTGAAAACCACACACCATTTGTACTCTTTCGAACTAACAATCTGAAACCACACACCATTTGTACTCTTTCGAACTAACAATCTGAGTCTGATAATGCATCATCCCGTAAGTCAATGATAGTACATGATTTTGCATTAGTCCGGCTAAAAATGCATCGACTGATTTTCGAATCATACAACGAATTGCGTTTTATTAATATTAAGACTACAAAAATAAATAACTTGAAGTATTCTTACCTTACAAAGCAGCAAACATAAGAACCACAACACCATATTTACTTTCTTCATGTCGATCCAAATTTTCGATACACCACACGAGCACATATATTGCTGATGTTTTTTCTTTAATTTATAGGCCTCATCATGGAACAGAGTAGATGAGAAACCATTACTACATAATAGCATGCCCAAAATGAATGGAAAACTTTGTTGATGGAGTTTATTCCTGTAAAATCACACAGACTAAAAAACGAAAAGGGGAAAGCTCAATATGAGCATATGGTGAAAAGTATTTATTAGTGATTGATATGAAACTACTACTATTGCTTAAATCTGTTGAGCCTTTGTGTGTGTGTGTGTGTGTGTGTGTTTTCCTTCAATTAACCTTTTTTTTTTCATAATAGATCATTTTGTTATAAAAGAAACTCTTTCAGGGCAGGGCAAGGATGAAACTTGCAAGTTTACCGATAAAAAAGTCAGATACCAAAACGGAATTAGACATCATCTTCTTACACAACGTCAACTACCAAACTAACTTCTAATGAAATAAGATATCAGATGCTAATTTCGACATCAGGAACCTTAACATTAGCAGCGAGGGCATCCAAATTCACATGTTTCAAGCCCTTCATTCTCTCAGCAAACAAGCCTGCCCTCACTGGATCATCATTCTCCTCAAAATATTTCAAAAACAATTTAACCGTCTCCTCTGTAGGAAACCAATCGCTCTCCCAATATTTTGGCTTATCCAAACCCATCTCCAAATGCTTCAGGCCCGACTCCACATCCCCATTTCTCACACTCAGGGCCGCAAACGAGTCCAGCATCCTCAAATTGGGAATTTTCTTCCTTTCAACCAAATTCGCATACAGACAATTCGCTTTATCCATCATGTCCCGTTTCAGATAATACTCCAAGAGCACGTTCGGGACCTTGGGATCGAAGCTCAACTTGCTCTCCTCCCACTCCTTGAAAATCTTCTCCAGGCCCTCCTGATCCCCGACCTTCGCAAGACCAATCAGCGTGAAGAGGTAGCACATGGTGTTGGGCTTCGGGATATCCAATTTAAGGGCCCGCCAAGCCCGGAGCACGCCTTGCAGATCATTCATCTGAGAATACAGCTTGATTCTGATCCGGCAGGCCTCAATCAGATTCTTTTCTGGCCGGGCACGCGTTTTCTCCATCCTGTCGAGATAAGCCTTTGCCTTCTCGGGCAAGCCCGAATTGAAATAAATGGTGGCGAGATTCCCTAACGTGAACCAATCATCCGGCACATTTTTTATTTTCATTTTCTCGACAACACTGTCAATGGCATCCAGATTCTTGAGGGCATCGTGGCTGTTGATCAGCATGTTGTAAGAGTAGGCGTCGAGAGGGACGTTTTTGTCCTCCATATCTTGGAAAAGGGAGAAGAGGTTTTCGTATTTCCCCGTGGTGTAGTAGAGACGGAGCATGTTGTTGTAGTTTAGAGTCGTCGTGAAGTTGAGTGATTTCATGAGGTCGAATGTGTCGACTGCCTTGTCAACGAGCTTCTGCTGGCAGTAGCAGCTGAGGAGGGCCCCATAGGTTTTGCCTGTCTTTCCGGATTCTTGGAGGGTATTGAAGTAATTTTCCGCGGAGGTTATGCCCTCAGTTTTGTGTAGGAGGTTAATGAGCATGGCCTTTTCGACATTAGTTAATTCCATGTTGCGGCTTTCCATCCAGTTGAAGACCTGATGCGGGTGAGTTAGGAAACAAAACACTGAAAAACAAGCTATAACGCATGTAAATGTTACATATTAAGGAAAAAAAGAAGCCCGATACATTTAAAGAACCATATACATCAAACACAAACAAAAACCAATTCACAGCTAAAGAAGTAAGCTGAAAATCCTCTCACACCTCCAATTGTCCGACCAACTACACCCCATTGCACAATCTTTCGATAACAAAGAATATGCAAAACCTACAAGAATTATCATCAGATAAACAGACAAGCATTTCCCAGTAAACATCCATATATAACAGCTACAGCATAAGATGTTAATCCATTTCGTTCCACAAAATCATAACAATGAAGGGGGAAAACTGGTTATCCAAAAACAAGGGAACGAATCTACATAAAGAGCACATACATAATCAAAGGCGTACATTAAAATCAAAAAAGAAAAAAGAGAAAACCTGAAGAGCGGCATCGAAATGCTTGCGATTGCGGAGAAAATTAGTGATGTTGAGAATATCGGGTCTCCCGACCTCATTTCCTTGATTCACCCAATTATTGAGAACGTGTGGCACGCGCGACAAGTCGGACCTGGCCTTATTAACCACTTGATAGAAGAGACGGGTACTCTTCTTAGGCTGCGCCGCCGCCTCTGCCTCCGCCGTCGACTCCGCAGCCACTGCATCCTCCGCCGATTCCGCAGCCACTGCCTGTGCTGCCGATTCCGCAGCCACCGTGCTCAACCACCGTGGAACAGGAGACGGTGACGATTTTGGGAGAATCAAACGGCTAATCAATCTCATTATCGTCATTTTCCTCGCGCCGCTATCAAGCCGAAGTGCGAATAGGGTTTCAGTGCGCTAGTGTAGGAAAAAAATCGAACAATAATTATGGCTACGACGAAAACTAGTTTATCCATCCGTTATAATTTAAAACGTGTTGAGCGTAAGTGATAGTTTTTCACGCTGACATAGCGAAAATTATACTTCGTGATGTTGTTTTTATATTATTTTTGCTCTAGAGTTAGATATGATATTAACATCAATCAATAATTTTAATCATATATTTCTTAACTCAACACTCATGTTGTACATGGATATTTTACTAGTAGTTTACTTAATTAGCTTATAAGTCTCGTAGAGAAATGTTCACCTACCCACGGTAGACACATGTTAATAAGTCCACCGCGTAGGTGGCATGCACCCATTGGTGATGTAGTTTCTTAAACATATTAACATCACCAATGAGTGCATGCCACCTACGCAGTGGGCATATTAATATGTGCCCACCGTGGGTAGGGGAGCATTTCTAAAGTCCTCATATATTTAAAAAAAATATTTTTTGGTAGGGCGAACTTATTTCATAAGTTTTTTTGTATCGCTTTTCTAATAAGCTCGTTGAAATTTTTATTTCAGCTAGCTTATCAGCTAATTTACCAAACACTTTTATTATATAAGCTAGCTTTTCAATTATATAAGTCATAAGTTATAAGTTATATAAGCTCGAGAATGAATAATAAGCTTTAAGCTAATTAATAATAAGCTTTAAACTAACTTATCAGCTAGTTTATCAGATAATTTTACTCAACATAACCTATATATTGCATATGTTAGAATTTTTATTACTTTAAATTGTAGATTTTCATACAAAAGAGCAAAAATTAAAATCAAAAGTCTGCTCCTTATTTTTACTCCAAGAGAAATATAAAAATCTCCGGTAATGTTTTTTTTTTTCTTTTTGCCCTAGAAAAGTGTGTAAGTTGTACCTCTCCTAATAAATAAAAAACGCCAGCCTACTTCAAGTTGCTCCTCTAAGAGAAAATCTTTTTCTTCTCTTCACAATCCACCTTAATTATCCGGTGATGTTTTTCCTTACTTTATTCTTCATTTTCCTAGTAGGACACCAAAAAAGATAAAAAAACTCTATAAGAAAATAATATTCTCGCAAAAATAATATACAACAGGTTTTGCCTTGTCTCTAGTTGGATTTGAAGGTTCAAAGAAGATGGAATAAATGGCCTCGGCGCTCGGGACCTAGGGGCTTGGGAGTTGTCTTGAGAATTTCTTCTCTTTAGCAATGACGTGAAACGTCTCGTCATATGTGCAACTCTTTCATCAAACTCATTGTCTCCATATCACGAATTAGATTCTCCAAGTCTTCAACCATCTTCAGTGACCGACTGAAGGGCGTTCCCTTTTTCTTTAGATCTTGTACCTCAAAAATTCATCTCGAACGTCTTGAGAGTGCCAACAAGGTTAACAAATTTTATGGTTGTCACATCCTTCAAGACATCAAGCGTCGTGATCATCATGTTGAAGCGCTTTAGAAAAGATCTAATCACTTTTGCCATGAGCTTTTTGTTCGAGATTGGTTCTCGAAGAGAGTAATATTCATTGACAATATTCATCAACTTAGTTGTGTATGACGAGATATTCTCGTCTTTGAGCATCTGAACACCTCCAAAGAGATCTGGGAGTCCTCTCAAGCCTTGATAATGTCCTAAAATACAATTTGCCAACCTCTCAAGCCTTGATAATGTTCAGGAACATTGTTGGTTTCCAGACTCAGGAGCAACAAATCACATCACTCATGATCTTGCTAATCTAAGTGT